AAATGAATCCATTTTTTTACTACATTTAATTAAGCTTTTCACTTAATCATACGTATGAAAGTGTTTAGCACCAGTAGTAGTAGATAGCATTATTCATAAGTTTTAGATGTTATTTAATGTTTTATTTTTCTTATGCTAAATGGTAATTTTGGTATATAATAGTGCAATGCATAAGATTATTGAATCATGCCTCTTTTAATGCGTAATAGTAATTTGACTTTATACTCACTTTGCAATTGCCAAAATCAAATTGCAATCTAAGAGGACAGAGTTCTAAATTTCTGATCCCACAACCTTTCAAAATTTATGGCGTTTGGTCAATATATAGTCTCAAATATCATGCTGAGGAATGAAGAAAATTATGTGAAAGAATAGGATGTAAGTATATATTTCTATATTATTAAGCCCCTGATTGGGTCATATTCTTGGCAAAATGAGAATGAGAAATAGAGATTTTGTAAGCCATACACAAGACAAGACACATGAAGTCAATAATTGTGGGCTGGATTTGACAAGCAACGGTAGGAATTCTTCTATTTTTGAAGAAAAAATGCCTCTCAGACAACTCCTAAGAACTATTCTATACATTTAGTTTTTTGCTTGGTTGCTATTTCAATTTAATTATTTTGTTTACCTTTTCGGACTTGTGTTGTTAGGTTGCAGATATAAAGGAAGAATTGTATTAAACGTGGCCAAATCTTCGTGACAAAGAATAAAATTTTGATTTTGGCCAATTTAATTATTTTGTTTACCTTTTAGAAATATAAAATAACGTAAATACAAATAATGTAACTATATGCTAATAATATTTACTATAATTTCTACTAAATGTTATTGCACATTTTGGACCATGTGGTATTGCCGAGTTTTATTTTCTTATGTTTATGCTTTAGGTAATTTTTGAAGTCCTTCCAAGAAGGGGGCAATTTCTTGATTAGTATGGCAACCTGAGATGATACGTTTAGTTTCATTTATTCGACATGGATATCAGTATAAATTAAAGTTCTTGAACTTGGGATATGACGATCTTGTGGTCAACCATTTTGGAATCTAAAAATTGGGCGACAATTAATTTCATCATGATGGCATCTTCGATTTTACTTGGTATCCAAAGATTCCCACAATTCATTCGCATACTTCACGAATACACCAGATAAATAATAAGAAGAAGTAGAAACAGAATACATTTGAATAATAAATTCATATTAAGATTGATGTTACTGGACTATAAATTCATCATTCGAACAATTTGAATATACTACACCGATGGAAAAATCCTAATGCAATTTGAACAGCGTAACGAGATGATCAACAGGATCAAAATATTAATTCGAGCCCTCCCACTTCACGATATTTCCTTAAAATGAATTTGCTACCTTCAAAGGTAGGAAAATAGTTCAGCATTCATCTCCAGGAAAGAACGATTTCCTCTCCTCTGGAAGTAGTACAGTAATTTGCAGGAGTTCTAATGCACTCAATGAAGTGTTTTTTACTTCGGGAACAATATCAAAACAAGAAAAAGAACAAGATTCAAAGTAGAAGTTTGTAATGAAAATGATGTATTTATTCTAGTAGCAGGATGGGCAATCATAGATTTGTTCGTTAGCATTCGAACATCCTTCAAGCCTTTTCAGAATAATAATACTCACTGTTCAAATAGGCCTTTAAATTCGAATAGACATCTCTGTTCAGATTGAAACACTACATCTATTAAGTTGGTTAATTGTCGACCTAGACCAAAAAATATCCAGGAAAAGCCAAAGATTGGAAATAAAAAATTTCATTTAAAATTAGTTACAATTTTATTAGTTATAATCTGGTCCAAAATTTAAATAAATATTATCCAAAAAGATAATATAGTACAAAGACGCACCCTCACCTGAACACGAACCAGTTACATGCTCGTACTGTGCCGGACGAACAACGACAGCGCATGCATTGGATTTAGGACCGAACCTAATAGGATAAAAGTCTCCTCCATTTCAAAGACTATTAATACCCCTTAGGGCCAATAGCCTAACTTCCACCATATAAATGATATCAAAATTTTCTATGTGGGACAAGTATTTAGCAATTTTCAATCAATCAAAAATTTCACTAGTTTTTAGTTTCAAGTAAGTTAGTTTGACATCAAATATTTTATTCAATTCTAAATAATTTTTGATAAATAAATATATCACATTAATCATTTTATGGAGTAGAACGTTAATATACCCGGTCCCGTTAAAATCGATGTATGGATTCCACTAAAATTGGAGCTCAAACTTGACCCAACTCACTAATTACCAAACCATTTCCAACAGATTTTTCGTGTCGAACATTATCCATTGGAAATATCTTGTACACTTGCTATTCATGATAAACTGCAATCAATTTCTTCTACTCATGAACTCTCTATTGAATATATTATTGTATATTTTTAAGTGGGTATGTAAAACTTCAATTAAATAATGAAATTGATATCATATACTTTGTATTAATACATTGGTTACATGGACTTTTGATGTGCATTGGGAAAACTATTTCTCTATCAATATTGAGTAATTTTACTTCACCTTCTATAGTCCTAATTCATCCAAAATTGATCTTTAAAGACAAGAAGTTAGATGAAGGCAGCGAGGATGACGGGACTTGATGATGAGGATCCCAAGTCACAGCACTTCACAAAACCCGATAGGGATTAGTCACAAGCAATAATTTAGTTGCTTACCATGTGAAACTTTATTGCCTTTTTCACATCCATAATTTTTATAGAATAATGCTATTTGCAGTGAAAATTACTAGCAGTCGTCTTATGTGGCGTACACTTGACAGTTTTTCATTTGATGTATAATTCAAAAAATAACTACCACATCTATATATCAAATACCAAATTGTCAATTGTATGTCACATAGGGCGACTATTGACAGTCTTCACTACGAATATCATTACTCATTTTTATATTCCAATATGTCCAAATTCCACTAGCTTAAGACACGTACTTTTAGAACAAATACTTAAATGTCCATAAGCTGAAAAATCATGCTCAAGATTAACTTTGCTTATTGAACAACATATGGCAATTCGAACATCTCAAGACACTTTCATTTTGATAGGAACAATGGATCTAGCTGTGAGATCAAAAGGCGAACCAACAACTATAGTATAGCTGTGTTTGAATGAATTCAAATTGCATCGAATTTATATTTGTATTACTATGAAAACTAGAGGATACTATCAAGTAATCAAGAGGCTAAACTCTCTCCCTCTTAAACTCTCAATATCTGAAAACTGGCGTCTGATACAGAATCATACTTGTTGCCTCCCCTTAATTTCTAGACGTCGTGCTGCAACTTTCCATGCCTAACATACATAAACCTTATCATAGCTTTTTGCAAAGCCTTTTTGCCTACATCTAATAAGCTGAAATCCTAGAATCATCATTAAATACAACCAAAGAATTTGTAAGAATCGGAAGTATATCACATGTATTCTCTATTTAATGTCCTAAGTCGTGAGTAGTTGAAGAACAAATTGTGCGCTTCACCTTTCTCCACTTATCCGCTTGTGGCAATCTATTTGGTTGTTATGTTCATATTACTTATCGTAACATTTGTGAAATCGAAGGGTCCGGGTTGTCCGAGTCCAGGAGACTGAGGCGGTCGGAGTCGAAATCCCACATTAATTTTGAAATAAAGGGTATTTTTGTCTTTCAATGTTAAAAATGCTATTGTGGTGAATAATTATTAAGTTAGGCCTATGTGTTAAACTGAGTGTTTGACGTGGCCATTTAAAAAGGTGGCCATCTATTTGGCTGTTATGTTCATATTACCTATCGTAACATTTAAGAAATTGGTATATGAACTGTTGGAACGTCTATTTACAAAATCCCAAGTAATTTTATCATAAGAGTGTAAATATGCGTTGTATTATTTTCTCGTCGACTGGAATTTTGTTCTATTGGATTTTCTTAGCAAAGTTTTGTGTAAGGTTCTACTAATGTGAATTTAAAATAATAATGAACTCTGTTTCTTGTTGTGATTTTTAACTAGATTTTTATTATTTATTTATTTTCTGTTTTGTTTTAACGCCAAATATTATTTGGAATTGATATTCAAGGGAAGTTTTATTAAATTTGGAGATGTCCAAAGTGCATGGCTCACAATTTATAAACAGTATTAACTCTTTGGAATACTGAAGGAAGTTAAGCCCATTGTTAAATGTGGATTAAAATTAAATTTTTAGTAAATTTTGATAAAAGTTAATAAAATATGTGATTGAAAAGTTATGAACCCAACGAAATATATTATTAAAATTATTGAATTTAGTTTAGATTAAAATTTAATCTCTACTAAACATGGGCTAAATATTTTAATAGTAATCCTTAATTTGTTATTAGTGAGATAAAAATATAAATTTATTTACAAATAACCCAATACTATTATTTTAATACCAATCTTTAATTTGTTTATTAGTGAGGTAAAAGTTAAAGTGTTTGTTTGAGTCATATTATTTTGGAAGAATGTATTTTTGAATAGTAGAATGATGGAAAATATGTAATTAAAAAATGAAATTTTTTTTTTAGATTTGTATGTAATATTATTTTATTGAAGAATGTATAATTGAAATGATGTCAAATCACTATTTGAGAATGCAACACAATGCTATTATTTTAACAAAAAGGACTATTGTATTCACTTCATCAAGGAGGTTTGGCTCGACCCATCTACCCACGAGCTCGCCTAGTACTCGGGGGTGGAGCTTGGTTCAGCCCACGAGCTTGTGAACTCACGAGCCAAGCCCACAAGCTCAAGAATTTTTTTTAACTCTTTTGTTCCCCCTTTTTTACGAGCCCACGAGCTCATAGGCGAGCCAAGCGGGTCACGACTCAACTCGTGCTCAGGCTCGTCCAAATACGAGCTCAAACCACCCACGAACCATCTTTTTACCGGCTGAACAATCAAGTTGACGAGCCGCTCTACTCGATTAAGACCCCTAATTTCATCTGCCTTAAAAGGGCCATTTTCAATAACTCCTCACTCAAATATTAAGTTAATACAAATCAATTAAGTACCTCAACAAAGAAAGAGGAGAAAAACAGAGACGCGAAAATGGCATCGGCAATTGTGAGATCTGGCCTCCGCTCCGCCATCCGCGGCGGCGCATCTACTCCACGCTCCTCCAGTGCTTCTAAACGGACCTTCGCTTCCCATGTTCATCACGATGAAGCTGGTATTAATAAATTAAAACAACATTCCATTTATAACGGATGAAATTGAAAATTGATTTTTCAGGATTTTATTATTTTAAATTACTTTTGAATTTTTGGGCTATTCCCTGTCTAGGTCATCATTACATTCAGATTAACATAGTCTGTATGCAGTTTTAGAAGATTGATTTTTATGATTGTATTGGCGATTCAAATACTGGATGCGATTGAAAATTAATTTTCCAGATTTTAGGTGTATGTTAATTATTTTTAAATTGTTTTGGTGATCGTGTGTGTAGCCGAGGCTTCAAAGTGGGAGAAGATAACATATGCAGGTATAGCAACTTGCAGTATTCTTGCAGTCATTAACCTTTCCAAGGGTCATCCTCACCACGAAGAGCCTCCTGTAAGTTTCTTTATATCTCCCTTCTTTTTCATTTTACTAGATCGAAAACTGGGTTTTATATTGTTGATCATGCTCATTTTGTGTGCAGTCATACCCATACTTGCACATCCGTAACAAGGAGTTCCCCTGGGGTAAGTTTTTTAATTATATTATGCAAATTTCTGTTTCAATTTTATTTATAATATATTTTCAGTGCTTGTTTTACTTTATATAGATGTTTCTGTGGGCTGTACAAGCTTTCATACAGTAAAGAGTATGCTTCTGCGTGTTTATATATTTTCTGATATTGAGAAGCGTATATTTTGTGGCAGTTATTCCTGGCTGTAGTTATAATTAGAAAAAAAGTTTCCCTGTCATTTGTTCTTATTATTCTTTACTTTGTTATACTGAAATTCCCCTTTCCATAGATTTTCCCCCTTATGAGACATTTGCATTTGTATTGTTGAAATGTTGACCATTGTCAAATATTTCGGACTACGACATTGTGTAATGATGGACAGATACAAGTTTAACTTTATTTAGAACTTTTCAAGGATCAAGCAACATTCAAAAATATTGTTCCTAGTATTTAGAGATGGCTGTGGATGAATTCATATTGATTTTCCATGTGCAAAAATGAAAAATAGGGTTTATTGTAGATATTCATTAAAACTCCTTTTAGTTTCTGTCAAAATTTTATGATGTACACATTGTGTGATCCTGCCATTAATAATAGTTGGCTGTTTTATGTCCTCCATTACATGTCTCAGATATTTTTTTGGCAGCCTTCGTATATTTCCATTTGCTTTTATCTTATGGCAGCTTCGGTTGCAAATGTGAAGTGTGGCCCTTGTTTGAATAATGTAGCTTAACTTGAACTAGAATCTGTCTTTGTTCTCATTATTCTTAATTCCCCATATCATAGTTATAGGTGGCATCTTGCATACATTGTATAAAGAGCTTTTCTGGGCTGTTGCTTTTTGAAGTAATTGTTTGAAAACTAGATTTCTTTGACATGCTACCTTTACGAATGCTTATTTTTCCGTTAGTCAGTCAAATGTTAACCTACTATCAAATACCCAACCATAGGGGCAGTCTGATCCTTCAAAATAGATTATTGTGTATTGACCTTATGTCTCATGATGACCTGGCAACATTGGACAACTTTGATGCTTTTGCCATAAATTTTTCAAATCAGATGAAGAACTTGAGAAACAAAAAACACTATGGGCAAATTGCTTTTGTTGGCAACTTATGAATGTTACTTTCAGTTAAACATCAAAGCTACTGTACGAGTCACCTACACGTTTCTACCGTGAGGAATGCTATTTGTCATCACTTGTGATCATCATCACGTTTAAATGCCATTATATGATATGTCAATAACACGAGTCTCATGTCTCCACATTTAATTGAACCTATCATTCAATGTACCATGTTCCCACAGTGTGATGAATATCATCAAAAATAGCATTATTCTTCCACGGTAGGGGTAGGAAGGATCAATTTTTAGGCAGACTTACCCTTCAGAATAGGTTGAGTGTGTATTTGAACCCATTTTGACCTGGCAACTTAGAGCAACTTTAATGCCATCATCTTACATTATTGAATTAGATGCAGAACTAGAGAAAGAAGAAATTCTGGCCACCCCAATTAAACATTCGCCCTTGTGGTGATGAAAATATATTCCATCTCCTATGCACCACATTCTCTAGAAAGACCATCATCGATGTTTAGAAGCTGAAGTTGCTTTTCTTTATAATTAATAGCTGTCTCTTGGTCTATCTTATAAGTTTTGATAATGATTAACAGGAACTCGAATGATAACTCCCAATAGATTCTATAATTTGGGGAGAGGGATTTACTGTTTTTTGGGTTATTAGTGCCTACAGTATCCAAGCAGATTAAATTTGCTTTCAAAGATTTAGCTTTGTGCAGTATCTGTCTGTTGTTTGTTAACATCAACAGCCAAACTGATTAAAATTTTTATTTCTTTGTTTTAACTATGTCGTTAGGTAGAATTTCTGCTTAGATTTTGTTCTATATTTTTATGCCCCTGTTTGGTGCAGCTTAAATACTTGATTAAAATTCAAGTCAAAATCAATCATTAACTTAACTACACATTTCATTTGACCAACAACTTTTCAACCTCAAATTTTATCAACTTTTATCAAAATCTACTAGAAGTGTAATTTTTATCTACGCCATACAGGGCTTTATATGATTTACTTGAAGAATTCCAGCAAGAACTAAGATTTAAGCAGCAGTGGAATTAAGTGTAAAGTAGGAAACCTGAGAATTAATTGTTTGTGTTTTAAGTGTCTTGCCTGCAGAATGTGATTTGAATTATTGTGTTTGTACTTGTACAGCAAAATAAAACTTTTACTAACCAAAATAGGATTTTGCATTCTTTAACTTAGGCCCTGTTCTCTTTACCGTTTTCGGGTCGTTTTCTGTTTTCGATTTTTCAAAACGGTGAAAACGTGTTCTCTTTCCCGTTTTCGAAAACGAAAAAAAATTTGTGAAGAAAACACAAAACGACTTTTTTGTCGTTTTGGGCGTTTTCAGTGTAAAACTTGAAAAAATTGAAAACGCGGGAAACACTTCTTTTTTTTTTTTTTTTTTGAGGTGGTGGTGTGGTGATTCTCAAAATTTAAAAAAAAAATTAAAAATTAAAAAATTTTTTTTTTGAGGAGATAGTGTGGTGATTCTCAAAATTTCAAAAAAAAAAAATAAAAATTAATTTATTTATTATTATTTTTTTTTGGTGTTTTGAGGTGGTGTTGTGGTGATTCTCAAAATTTTAAAAAAAAAAATTTATTTTTTTTTGTTTTGAGATCCTAACAAAAAGAACGCATTTTCAACAATTTCAAAACAAACACTCAAAATACAAAACTCAAAATGAATTCAAAACTCAAAACACAAAACTGAAACACAAAGAGAACACCCCCTTAGGCTTTTTATTTAAATGCGGGAAACGCTCAAGTTGCTTTTGCTGCTCTATCTTCCTCCATTGTCATGATTGTCATCACTTTCGGGCTTCAGCCGATAAGTTCTTACTCGAGCGCCTTTCTGGGACGCACAGAGAAAATCACTTTACATGAATCTTTTATTTTATTGGGGGTAAAGGAATCTGCATATAACTCTCCAGGACTTGCTGCCAACACGTGTTCTAACGTATTTTTACGTATTCATTTGACACGTTGATTTGTGTACTGCATAGAATTCTTTTACCTTGGTGCTGCTTTCGACGAAAAATGCAATATGCAATCTCTCATATGCCTTCTGGTTTCTATTAAGCAAATTTTGTGAATGCAGGTCCAGATGGTCTTTTCGAGGTGAAGGAACATCACTGATCCTACTGAGTTGGTGGATTTGAAGATTCAGATGAATAATGATTTGGTTTATTTTGGCAGTGTAATTGAACTTGTGCTATCAAGTCTGCCTCCCAAATTTAATTCAGTTTATTGTACTTATTCGGGATTAAGATCGAATACTTGTCATCTTTCACTTTTGCTTCTCTTTCCTTTATGGTACTACATAATAAAAGTCGAGCAACGGATTGAATTTGCCCTTTTTCGATGGCTTTTGTGCCATGTTGATACTACCAATTTAATTTGTGATTAGTTATTTTCTTCAATCATGAATCAGTGCAGATTTTTTGACATAATGTCACATAACATTAGACTGTTTTAAACACAGTGAACTTTTCTATTAAATTATCTTCTGCCATCTTAAATTATGTCAAAGAATTTGTTAAAATCTTCTCACAGTGTGGCAAAACCTTGTCTTCCATTTTTTTTTTCTTTTTTTTTTCTCGCCGTTTCGTGGAGACTTTGGAATTTTATTTTGGCACGTCACTGTCAGAAAGAAAAAGGTCGTGTCGTAAACATGTTAAGTACTCTTAAATATGAAATTTCTATTACATTCTTATTTTAATTAAATTTAAAAACAATAATTCACCCTTCTAGAACTTTAAGAAGGGATGAATCAATATGATTTTCTCTAAAATCTCTTTTGAAATGAATATTTTTTAAATATTGGTTTTAAAAAATTAATTAAGTTAATTTTACCAGAAAATTCTTTTACAATAAATCGAAATGAATATAAAAGTCTTGGCAAATGAATTTTGAAACACTTCAAGCAACGATTACTCGAGTTAAAGGTATAGGTACAGACACTTTCTTCCTATCTATTAATAAATGGGAAGATATAAGATAGGTAGCCAACCTCTTCGAGAGAGCGATGTTGATGTGTATGAATTTAGGTGAATTGGGATGCAGCTTCATGAACAGTTGGGATCAATTTGCTACTATATTGATAGACAGGGGACAAAGCTATAATTGTTTGAAAGGAAGATTATGGACTTAGAGTATAGATCCTCCACTGCCACTACGCCCACCATGCTCCTAGCCACAGCCCGCCGCCTCCACCCTTTCTCCACCGCTGCCGACGACGCGACAATCGATTCCCTCGAAGAGCACTGTTCAACCCATAAAGCTTTACTCTTTTTTTTTGCTGACAGCATGTAATAAAATCAATGCCATTCCTGTCCTCCTCATCTCGTTACCTTTTCTCACCAATCCCACGCAAACCCCTCGATTTTTCGTTCATAAAACTCGATTTTTTCACCACATCTTCACCGTCACCCGAAAATTTCTTGGCCAAATTGCTGGAAAATACGTCCAACATAGAAAGGGTTCTCGAATCTGTGAAAGCTAAGCTGGATGCTTCATGCATCAGTGAAGTGTTAACAAGGTGCGTTGTTCATGAACCCCAATTGGGTCTCTGATTTTTCATTTGGTCTGGCCTTTATCCTACTTGTAGGCATAGCTCATACATGTATAGCAAAGCATGTAAATTACTCGGACTTGAGAAAAACCTAAGCATTGTTGTCGATGTTATAAATTACTCTGGCTGAAAATAGTGCTGTTAGTGTCAAGATGTTCGAGGTTGTTCTGATTTTGTGTAGGGAAGCTAAAGATGAGAAATTGGGCTTGTGGTGTTGAGGAAAATGAAGGAATTTAATTGTAGGCCCGACACGTTGGCTTACAATGTGGTAATTAGCTTGGTAGTGGAGAAGGGTAAATTAGATGAAGCAATGGGGTTGATGAAAGAGATGGGCTTGATTGTTCTTTATCCAGATATGATCACTTATGTTTCGTTGATTAAGTGGTTTTGTGATGTAGGAAGGTCGGAAGATGCATGCCAATTGATTAAGTCTATGAAAGGGCATCGGTGCGTGCCAAATGCAGTTGTTTATTCGACACTTCTTGACGGGGTTTGTGAGCTTGGGATTTTGGAGAAGGCATTGGAGTTTCTAGAGAAGATGGAAAAAAAAAAAAAAAAAAAAAAAAAAAAAAAAAAAAGGGATATATGATGCACAAATGATGTGAATTTTTCCAACTAGACTTCATTTATGCCTTATGAAAGGACTTTATTTAGCGTCTATTTGATACCCTTTATTCTAAAAAATTTATTTTTTACAACAGTGTAATGGGCCCACATTTGCAGCATGATGTAATCATGTCGACAAGAAAGAGTTGCTTATTAGTTTTATGGTATGTATCTTTCCAATTTTGCCCTTAGATAAATGCTTGGTTACCAATCGAAATTGGAGAGAAAGGTTGAAGGGGAAATAAGTAAATTTCATGACATATTGAGGGCAAACACGGTACTTAGTGGTAAATGGGTGGATTTTTCAAATTTGTGTTAGGTAAGTCAGTTGCTCTTTTTGTTGGCCATTAAAGCTTTTACTATTACAAAAATTAAATTGGGGGAAAGAAAGGGCGTCAAAGAGACGCTGAACTTAAAAAAAAAAAAAAAAAAAAAAAAAAAAAAAAAAAAAAAGATGAGGAATGTAAGCCAAATGTTGTAACTTATTCGGCAGTGATAAAGGGTTTTGTTGAGAAAGAGAGAGTGATGCAGGCATCAGGGGTCTTGGATCGAATGGAAGATTCAGGCCGTCAACCTAATAGGGTGACAATTATGGCTTTGATTGATGGCCTATGCAAAGAGGGGTGTGTGGAGGAGGTTCATAAGGTCATTGATAGAGTTAGTAGAGGTAGTGAACAGCATGGTAAGTTCTATGGTTTGCTTGTTGTGTTACTGTGTCGAATTGGCAAAATAAAAGAGGCATAAAAGATTATTAAGATGATGATAGCTAGTGGGATGAAGCCTAATGATTTGGTTTCAAGTACTATCATAAAAGCTATAGTCTTTGAGGGGCAGGTGCTAGATGGATTTGGTTTGTTTGATTCACTTGAAAAGTCTGTACATTTTACTGCCATCGATTCTGATATTTAGTCGATCACATTAGCTGGACTTTGTGAAAAAGGCCATTTGGTGGAGGCTTCAAAGCTTGCTAACCTGATGGTTGAAAGATCCTTATGTTCAAAATATAGTCGAATACCTTAAGAATTATGAAGAAGAAGATATAGCTTCCCTTATCGGTAGTATTGACAGTTTATTATGAGCCAAGACTTGTTCTGTATGTGACAAGACCCCTTTTCTCTAATTGAGATGAAAGCCTTTCCTTTGGTTGGTAATTTCTTGCTTCGAGCAATGGAAAGATGCTGCTGGCTCCTTCATTCTGTTCCTTGATTACTTATGGAGAAGAAATTGTATCATTTACGCTACAGTTATTTAAGTTGCTGAAGAACACTGAGGATTCACAATGCAACAGTTGCAGAGTGCCAGTTGCCAAATAAGCAGTCGGAAGATGCGAAATAGAGGAGAGTTTCCACTGTAAAACTAATTGCTAAGGAGTAATAAACTTGTGTAGTAAAGAAAATATATTCTCTATAGAGGCTAGCATCTGTTTTCAAGCTTGAAAATCCTTTCATGCACCTTCAGATGGAAATGGAAATTGTCTCAATATTGAATATATATTTGACCTTAATTTGCTTATTATAACTTAGATTTACATTTTTTAATTATAGTTGATGGATATGCTTGCTTGCACAGGTTTCATCACTTCTAGATTATGGCTGACCCTGCAAAGATTTTGATTTCTAAGCGCTGCTTTTGATGTAAGTGAAGAAAGTTGAAGAATATTTCTTGATCTTATAGTCAAAGCTGATAATATGCTAGTATTATGTGAAATTGCTGAAATTTATTTATTTGATTATCTTCTCCTTTTGGAGATATAACCTCACCAGTTAGTTTACCGATGAACAAGAGTCTTCTATAGCTCTCAGATAATGTGAAAAATCGGGTTGAAGAAATATTATTTTTCATGCAATTCTACTTGTGCAACTAGCATTGTTTTGTCCTATTCTACGGAAATAATTCCATTATGCACATCTGTTGTATTATTATGAACTCTTTTTTTCTTTATTGATTATGTTAGTAGCCTTGGGCGAAACAGAAGCTATTAAAGGATCAGATACGAAAAAATGCCGTACAATAGGGATTTGGAATCGTTGACATCTGGTAATTTATCTAAAAGAATATAGAACATATATGATTTTCCTGCTACGGCTACCTGAATACTTGTGTAATGAACTTGTACATGATAAACATGAAATGTTTACCTAAATACTCATAGTAAAACTTCAAAAAATTCTTTGTGGGGTTCATAATTTGATTAAGAAGAGGTTTAAGACATTGATCGACTGGAGAAGACTTATATCCAAACACCGATTCAGTAAGCATAATATGCATAATTCTTCCAATATAAATAAAAGGAAAATGAAAGAAAAAAAAGTAGATGGCTTCATGTCGAAATGTAATGCAAGCATGATTACAAATGTAAAGCACCAAAGTTTCACCACCTTAAATATCAACTCCAAGTTAACCTTGAAGGGTAGCTTGATGGTCAGTTCTTGGGTTTGCTTCCCAATGATCACCAGTTCGAGTCTCATTATGTCCGCTGAGTTGAGTATCTGGATGTAAACTTCAAGGCCTCGAGGGATTAGTCGAAGTGCGTGTAAGTTGGTCTGGACGCCCACGGTCATAAAATAAAAAAATAAAATAAAAAAAATAATAATATCAACTCCAAGTTAGAAACATGACATATTCTAAAAGCAATAGTGAGGAATATTAACACTTCTGTACACTTTCTTGCAGCTGTTAGAATTAGTAGAGTAAATATTAATTTCTGAAAACTATACCAGAACATGGCAATACAATTAAGTTGCTGGTACAAAAATTACGAGGTGTGATTTGTGGACTGCAGGTATAAAGATTCACAGTCATGCCTCGAAAGGAACAACCTAAAGTGCTTGTGCACAAGATAGTGTTATATACAGGTTGAAAGCTCAAGCTTGAGCTTCTATCTGTGAACTTTGTTGTGTACTTTTAGAGTTGGTTAGCATATGAAGAAGCAACTGTCTATCATAAAGCTCGTGTTATTCGGGTTCTAGATGCATCAAAACAGGGTCTGACTCTTAGACAATTCCTTCTAGTGGATCATCTTAATCTGTAGCACAATTTCTGATAATAAGAATCATTAGAAGAAGCAATAGCAGAGCATACTCGTGTAACCGTTCGACTAGTTGATTAACATACCTTATTCAAAACTAATATTAGAATTCATGAAATAACGCGGTGTTTGGCTTGGTATGTTCATGAACAAGCACATGCATATACAACATATCTAATCTTCTGCCTAGAGTAAGCAGGAGTAATGATGTTCGCTGTGAGCGTGGTAACATGTGGTATTGTCACATCAACATTGAGAGCATAATGTGGCAACATCATATGTTGGCATACTCACAATAAGCATTATAATTTTTATCCATTGCGAGTAGGAGATCAAACTCAGTATATATAATTCAATGGCATCTTGTATAGTTCTATACATTTTTATTGGTATATATTGACACGATATCACCATTATGAAATTTTGTCACTTAATATGTTGCATTTAGTGTCCCCGAGGCACGTGTTACCATTCTTTGAGTTGAACAAAAGCCTTAATAACCTTCATCTTGGCTCGATTCATTGTTTCTAATTCAAGATATAAGCTATTTAAAAAAAATCGTAATTTTTGTTTTTTAATAGATTATGGATGGTTCTTTATGAAAAGGGTGAAACTGAAGCAGACGAATATTTGTTGTGTATTGTAGAAGTCGACAAAGCATAAACGGATAAGAATTTTCAGATGGTGAGAATAAATAAAGGAAGAAAAAGAAAATATCTTGATGAATATTCGGTATTATATTTTTTAAAAATCTTTATAGTAAAAATGGAAAAAGAAAACCCATATTTTCTCTGGCTGAGAATAATTGCCAATTCCCTTTTATTTATTCGTTTGTTGGATCAAAACGAATCCTATCCAAAGGAATAAATGGGGAATAAGAAAAGAAAAACTTGGAATTTTTTTTTAATAGTGGAACGATATCTTTATATCTCCCCTTCTATTTACTCTTAGTACTACATTAATCCATTGATGAATAATAAATTTATTTTTATTATTATTATTTTTAATTTCTTTTAAGTGTGAAGATTTAGAATGTCCATTTTGCCCTTTTCAGAAATAGCCATTTCCATTCACACTCAGAAGATAAATAGATTTTTGGGTCGAATATGTTCAAACTTCAAAGGGTCTTTTTGCCACTTAATTACATGAAGGTTTAGGGATGTTGCAAAAAATGAAAAGTTTGGGGGACTCAATTTCACTTTTGGAATTTTAGAGTCCTAGATGCAATTTTTCCTAATTAATAATGCCCTCGTTTTGATGATCATTATTTTGAAAATATGTGATTAAAAGTAATTTTTTTTAAATTTATGTGTAAAATATTTTATTAAGTAGATACACGATGGAAAATAGTATAAAAATTAAATAATTTTGAAATAATGATTAACAATTAGGGACAATGACGGTCACTTCATTTTTAAATCTGTATACTTGCTATAAAGGTGGTTTATTGACCACAAGTGCAATCCTCAAATTATAGTCCAATGGTACAAACTACAAGCTGTGAACGTACAACTCATTGCTGCAGAACATAATCCAAACGCAAGTTAACCTAATCGAGAAAACCTCACCACCGCCACCATGGCTTCGAAGCTTCTAGCCACCACTCTTCGCCGCTCTTTTCCCAAACCCACATCAGCCTCCGCTGCTGCCACTACCCTCCTCCACCGTCACCCTCTCTCTACCGCTGCTGCTGCAATCGAGCCCGTCGAAGAGGACGCAAATGGATTAACAATGAAGGGCGTCAAAATCTCCGGTCGACCACTATATCTCGACATGCAGGCCACTTCTCCGGTGGACCCTAGGGTTCTTGACGCTATGCTTCCTTATTACGTCTCACGATATGGAAATCCCCATTCGCGGACCCACCTCTATGGGTGGGAATCCGAGAATGCCGTGGAAGCGGGCCGGGCTCAAATCGCGGCCCTCATTAACGCCTCCCCGAAGGAAATTATATTCACCTCTGGCGCTACTGAGTCGAATAATATCTCGATTAAGGGCGTTATGCATTTTTATAAAGATAAAAAGCGCCATGTTATAACTACCCAGACTGAGCATAAGTGCGTATTGGATTCCTGCCGGCATTTGCAGCAGGAGGGGTTTGATGTGACTTATCTGCCGGTTAAGGCTGACGGGCTTATAGACTTGGAAAACCTGAGGGAGTCTATCCGGCCTGATACGGGTTTGATTTCGGTAATGATGGTGAATAATGAGATTGGTGTGATTCAGCAGATGGAGGAAATTGGGAAAATCTGTAAAGAGTTTAATGTTCCTTTGCATACTGATGCTGCTCAGGCTCTGGGGAAGATTCCAGTTGATGTGGATAAAATGAATATAAGCTTGATGTCGTTGAGTGGGCATAAAATTTATGGGCCAAAGGGAATTGGAGCGTTGTACATGAGACGGAGGCCGAGGATTCGGGTGGAGCCCCAAATGAATGGGGGTGGACAAGAGAGGGGAATAAGGAGTGGGACAGTTCCTACGCCTTTGGCTGTTGGATTTGGGGCGGCATGTGAGCTGGCGATGAAGGAGATGGAGTATGATGATAAGAGAATTAAGGCTTTACAGGAGCGGTTGTTTAACGGGATTAGGGAGAAAATTGATGGGGTAGTAGTGAATGGAAGCACAGAGAGGAGGTATTCAGGGAATCTGAACTTGTCGTTTGCGTATGTTGAAGGTGAGAGCTTGTTGATGGGGTTGAAGGAGGTGGCAGTGTCGAGCGGGAGTGCATGCACGAGTGCGAGTTTGGAGCCATCATATGTGTTGAGGGCTTTGGGAGTGGAGGAGGACATGGCACATACCTCGATTAGGTATGGAATAGGGAGGTTCACCACCGAGGAGGAGATTGATCGAGCAGTGGAATTGACTGTTAAGCAGGTTGAAAAGTTAAGGGAAATGAGCCCGCTTTATGAGATGGTGAAGGAAGGAATTGATATTAAAAGTATCCAATGGAGTCAGCACTGACTTGTTTGGGATGAGTGGATTTGTGCTTGACGGAAAATTGAGATAAGCGCATTGAGTTCGGAGGTGCTTATTTTGCATATGGAGTTTTTGCAGGACGCTATCCAGGTTTTATTCGAGACTACTCTGTACTTTCTTTTGTTTGACATGTAGTTGCACTATGGTTAAGTTTCGTCGAGTAGATGGATGCTTTTGATGTTCATTACATTCCAATAATGTACCATATATACAGTCTCTTGCAATAAACTTGGAATATTTATCTTTATGATAGTGGAATGATATTGTAGTATGATTTTGTCTCCGTTCATTTTTTTATTTTTTATTTTCTTTGAGTGAAAGGCTGATTGATTGTTTGTGGTATTGGATGGTCAACTATGTCATGACAGACTTATAATGCTCAATAATGTATGATTGTCACTGCATTCTGTGGAACATAACACCACCTCCCTAATATAGTCTGAAATTAGTAGTTCCTCAATCCCATGAGGAACATATGAATTTGATTATAATTTAAGCAATTTGGTAATGTGTGGAAGGTTTCCATCACTTCGTTGAAAAATTAAAGTGAAATCACTTTGAGGACCTGTTATTATTGAACCTACAAGCTCACAAACTAATTTAGGTATCAATCAAAAGATATTCAAAAGAAGTTCTTTCCAGTGATTAGAATGAGATGAATATTCTTGCCTACATTTTATAGTGCCTTTTTGTGGGCAATGGAAGCCAGTTTTTGTGCATTGCGATTAAAGGTTGATAGGAATTCTTAACTGTTTCTGTTAACTGTTTCTGTGAGAAATTTACCGAGCTCAATTATTTTTGTCGAGTTCTTCTCTGCTATTGCCAAGATGGTAAGAATTAATATATTGAATGCTCCAAAAGTAAATTTTATCACAATAACTCTATAAGCACGTCTTTGGTTTCTGTGTAGTATCTGGAATATGTACTTGCTTTTGTGCTACTTTTCACGTATCCCCAAACCTTGTTGTAGGCTAACATTTATGTTAATATTGCAATTTAATTTAATTTCTTTTGCAAGTGATGAATGTTGAAAATTTCTAGAAGCAGACTAATGAGGAGTATAGGTAAAAGAAACATCGTTATTTGCATCTTGGCTTTCCTTCTATGAAACAATATTACTGGAAAATAAAAAGGAAAAACCATTAGACTGTGATTTACACAAGGTTGTGTGCTTATGTGCTGCAACAACATGAAATACTTCTTATTCATATTTTATCTATGGTCATAGTAGTTATATTACACATTATCATCTTATCGTCTTGAAATATCATCAGAGAAAATGTCCTAATAGTGATTTATACACAATCTTGTGCTTTAGTTTGCATTATGATCTGTTTTTCCCCGGCTAGAACATTAAGAATTACTAGTCTCTGGGCTCTGCTGAACTTGAATTTATAAGTGCATTTTTTTGGTTACTGGATGAGATGGATAGGGAAATCTCAATGCTGATATAGTGTTGATTACAGCAATTAATATTTTTGGATGAGACTTGTAAGAGATGATTATGCAATCACGTGTGGTAATAATTTAATAAAGTAATGAAAGAAGTTAAAGTCTTAAGCTAATAGCCATAAATAGACATCTTTACTTTGAAATAAAACGTTCTTTCTTAGTTCAATAGTGATAAAATAACTTTTTTTAAGATTTTTCGGTATCCAAATATGCCCTTCTTAATGAGATTAAAACTTGGACACTGAAATATAAATAACATTATTTCAGTTTGGAGGGGAGAAAAATAAGAAAAAAATAGTATCTTTCTGGAATGTTCTTGAGCCTAGACCAAATGGACTGGTCTAGTTATATGTTTTCTACTCTCTTTGAAAATGGCCATATCTTTTTCTATATATATTCATACATATCTGTCCTTGGATCATGTCACCTTTCAATATGCCTAAAAATGACCCATGTTATACCTATTCTTTATACTTTAGGAATAGACAATTTTGAACTACCCGGCGGCATATATGGGATTTTGAAACGGATAGAACCAGACAGGCTAAAGAAGAAAATCAAGTGAGATATTCTTATTGTGTTGTTCCAGCTACAGTACCGAGCATGCCCTTAAGATACTGAACTTGCTTGTTTCTTCATTCAAGACTTGAAAGCTAGAGATATTATGCTTGTATTAATGGTCTAGTTTTTTTTATTTACATGATAATAAGTTTTGGAAGGATGAAGATTTAGATGATTTTTGAAGCTTCATTACAAATCGAATAGTTTTAAAATTATTTCTTAGATTTCATTCTAAATTTCAATAAAATTCAAAACAGCGTTAGAAGTGTAGGGTGTTTATTGAAAAATGATCAAATTTATAAGATGAGGGGAGAAAAAAGGAAAGGGATTGTTAATTAAACCTCAGTATAACCCTAGCCTAATCTTGCATATTAAGAAAAGGTTGATTTATATTGAAAGTAACTATACAGAATATGAGCACATAAAAGTTACTTCAAGAAAATCATGCTTTTGTTGACTATTTGTTAGTTAGTGGTTGATCAGCTTATTATTATTAACATATATAAGGTTTGAGTTCTAGAGGCAGACTTTGGACATTACCCCTTATAGATATGAAACAGGGAATGAGCATACATGCATGGTTGTAGTAATCATCCCGAACGTAGAATGCTAACCATGTCCTATAACTTGACAATGTTGAGCTTGACCATAGTGGTAAAATGAGCAGGGTCGTCTTAGGGGGGTGTATTCAATTGGGACTTTCAAATACTTTTGGAGACTTTTTAAAGTGGGCGACTTTTATGGACTTTGTGAAATTTTAAGTGATTTTCATGGATTTGGTAGGAATTAGTAAAAGTTTTCCCTGGATTTGTGGAGACTTTTACTAGATACTTTTAAAAACTTTTGAACATTTTTTATTTTTTTTAAAAGAAAATATTAAACATATATAATGTAAAATGGAGTTTCCATTTTCATGCTTCTGATCACTGAAACGTTTCGTACCATCAACATTAGAATTCAAATTCATCCCACTAAGATTCAGGTTCCACTCACTAAATCCCGAACTCACAGCATTAAACAAGTTGCTTGCCAAAAACAACCACCCTTGAAAGTGCCCCTTTCATTTGAGCAAAACCGACCAAGTTCTGATTAAACTGGCCGAACAGCTCACGTGGATGCAGGCAAATTAAAACCAAAGGTAATAATAAAATATTACCCAAAGTGCAAAAACAGGAATTTGCAGGCTCTGACCTTACTTTGAAAGCTGAAATTCCGGCTAGAACACGTTATGGATCTCTTTTGCACAGGCAAAATACAAAATCAACCAAACTGATTGAGAATCGTTTGTTACCAAATCCCATTAACATTACGAGTTTTCAAGAGTACCTCTTTCCAGAGACTACAGGAAAATAGTTCAATTATTACCGATTGAAGGAGATGGAGGAGAACCCTAGAAGGAAATAGAAGAGCCGGCTTCAATTGAGAAATCTCTCGATGGATGAGAGATTTCCCTTTGAGAATTCTATTCATATTTTCTACCTGAAAGTTTCCCAAAGTCTAATAAATTATAAATTCTCCGAAAGTCTTTCTTAATTGAATACCCCGAAACTTGTAGAGACTCCTAAAAAGTTTCAATTGAATACCCCGTAACTTATAGAGACTTTTTAAAAGTCTCTATTGAATACACCCAGACTTTTAGAGAGTTTTTAAAAGTCTCAATTGAATACACCGAAACTTTTTAAATCTCTCAAAGTCTTTAAAAGCCTTAATTGAATACACCCCCTTAGTCTATGCTTGGGACCATCTAGCATTTGTTTGGTTCAGCTACGACAACGCGGGTTGTCTAAGCTAGGGAGGTCATGAAAAATGACTAGCTGAGACCCAAAATCTTCTCATTATAGCTAATGCACCTCAGAATCCATTTTATCCACCTATAAGTTTTGCTACATGAAAATACTTCTCCTGGTGACACACTATTTTCTACTCTAAAACCCAGTTTGTCAGACCGTGACAAATTGCTTTAGTAAGCAAATCATACACAACTAGTATTCAGATTAGGCAATTTCTCAAATCTAGAAATTCAGGTTACTTGATAGGCAAGAAATCAAGAACCCGGAAAAAGATTTTGAGCTGCATGCCTGACTCGATTCCTGTCCTGCCTAAGAAGAATTCATTTTGCGTGTTCATAAAGGCAGTGTTTCAGAAAGCACAGTATCTCTGGGAAAGACCTAACGGTCCCTTCTATAAAATCAGGAAGCCATGCTCGAAAATGGTCACAAATCTTTGTCACTTTTTACAGTTTTAACCTAATGTTTCACTTCCCTATTGCTTAGTTGACAGACTTGCATTTATTATATATATATAGCAGGCAATAAGATCACAGAAGGTGAGAACTCTAGGATTAGGAATTTAGGATAAATACACAATTTATTGCAAAAACATCAGTAACGAACTAAAACATATAATCATAAAAATTTATATAAAAATTTGAAAATTTGCATGAATTGTGGGAAGATTGGAAGGTGTCCACTAATAGAAAGTAATCACATCTATGGAGCAAAAACTAGAGACTATAAGAGCCAAAGGCAAAAGTTACAATACAGTCTTCTTGAATTGTCCAGTCATGAACCTTCTTCATTTTCGGAAGTTCTGATACAAGGAAGGCATCAGTCCCCATACATGGTCTTAGGTAAGGACTTACGGATTATGAAAAATGATTTATGGGTTGAAAATTAGGTTTCCACATTTGCATTTCCAGCTCAAGGGCTTGTTGTTGGAATTGTCATCACCTCTGTTATAGACAATTCCTGAGGTTGTGGTGGAGTTCTTTATTTGGGAGTTTGTGGGCACCTGAATGGCCTCACAATGTGCACAAGAAGTGCACCTCCTTTCACATTCCGGCACCTTCAAGCCGATTTGTGCCCTAAAAGTTGCCTTCTCATCCTCAGTCGCTGTCTAAACAATGAGAAAAAATTTCAAGATTTTTAAATTCGAATGATTCAAATTGTAAGCCATGAAACTCAAGAGAAACACAGCTAATGCACTAAATAATGCAGATGAAGACATGATAAAGAAAAAATGGACCCCATTTGTGGAGGATTCCAATAATTTTAATTTTTTTTTAGATGAGTTGGTCATACTCGTACAAAACATATGAATATATACCTGGTGAATATCGGCCCGTTGTACTAAAATTCTACCTGCAATGTGCATAAGAAAGGAAACTTATGCTTAGTTTGGCATTTTCCTATTTTGAAACATGATCTTATTTTGAGTATGTGTATTCTAGAAATTCAATTGCAACCAATTTACCTTCTGGACTGAGGTGGGATGAGCTTGAAATTAAGAGAAACAGTAAAGAAATGGCAAAATGGTGAAGTAAAATGCCACATATTAGATTGTAACTGCAACCCATTTCAGAAATGATGATTTTTGTGTGGATTTTCCTTGTTTTTATAGTGATTGAGATTGTATGGCAATGTGTTGACATCTGGCAGTTAGGTTTATGGGGTTCTCGATTTTTTGTTGTCCATTATAGGGGATTTCTAGCACTTATAGATTTTCAAAATTTGTCTCGATTTTTCATATATATTTACAATCATGCTACATTGTCAGCAAAAATTTGATAGAAAAGTTGATGTAATATCACGTGTTATTCTATCATTGAACTATTTTAAATATAGTTAGTTTTTCCAGCCAATCCAATCATCTTCTGCTACCACTTCATTTGTCACCACCTGTCAATTCTCTCAGGCAAAGTGGCATAATCCTTGTATTCATGCAAGAAAATATGCCGTTAATTGTGTTAATTCATGAAGCATTAGGGTTACTGCTACATTTATTTTTTATTTTTTTGGCTTTTCTACCCAGTTCAAGTTTATTTTATTAACTGATCAAGTGGAGATAATCTTGAGATTATCTAGGTGGAGCCAGCACCTGGCGAGCCATGGTGGTCACCCGTGCTGGCTCCATCGAATTTTTCCCCCCATATATTCGTCAGCCGCTTGTTCGCCCTTGCTCAGATGAATTCCTGAATCCTCCACATTCTTGCCCCTCCATGAAGTAAATCAATTCAGCTTTTTGTTTATTACTGGGGTTGGGTGAGGTTTCTCTAACTCGACCATTGTACAAGAATGCCGAAAACTTGGAAAATGTTGAATGGGAGTCAGCTCTCTTGTATAATCGATTCCAAGTAGAACTTATAAATCGACTATAGCAGTGAAGACTTCAATGAGGACATGTGACCCAGCCTGCAGATTCGTGGTTCTCTTCTCAATTGGGTTTGCGTTAGGGGCTTAGGGTTGAAACACAATTTTCGAACAAGTTAGGTTGGGCTGGGTTCACTAAAGTTTCTGCCCAGAAACTGAACCAATTAAAATCTGATTAAGATGACGCTAGCGTACAAGACTAAGCTCCTGTTTGGTAGAGATTAAAATTAGATTTTTAGTTGATTTTGATGGAAATTTTTGAAATGTGTGGTTGCAAAGTTGTGTGATTCATGAAATGTGGTTAAAATTGATTTTTTGACTTCGATTTAAATTAAAATCTAATTTAAATCCGTATCAAAGAGGGTCTAAGCAAATTAATTTCAACAAATGGGAATTTGGGTTTGCGATTACCCCATTGTTTACCAAAAACTTGATTTTCCTTGAGGGAAATTTTTACTTCCAGGCCTGTTTGGAACAACAATTCCAGAAGATAAAGTTTACTTCTAGGTCTGTTTAGATTAATAATTCCAGAAATACTTTTATATTTTTTATAATAGTTGTGGTCAACGTGTGTTGCAAGTTATTTTGAGATTTTCTTAAATATCGAAAAAATATTATTTACAATAAGTGTTTATGGAAAATTAGCCTTAAATTTCTTTGTAATGAAAATAAGCGAGTCATCTGTCTAATGAGAGAACAATTAATCCATATGTACAGAACAAATTAAAATCTGATTTAAATCAGTATCAAACAGGGCCTAAGCAAGTTAATTTCAACAAATGGGAATTTGGGTTGAGCGATTACCCCATCGTTTACCCAAAACTTGTTTTTCCTTGGCGGAAATTTTTACTTCTAGGCCTGTTTGGAATAACAATTCCAGAAATTAGAGTTAATTTCTAGGCCTGTTTAGAATAACAATACCAGAAATACTTAACTTTTTTATATTAGTTGTAATCAACGTGTGTTGCACGTTATTTTGAGGATTTTTTAAATCTTAAATAATTATTATTTACAATTTTTAGGCTAATACAAGTGTTTATGGAAAATTAGCCTTTAAATTTATTTGTAAAGAAAATAAAAGAGTCATCCGTCTAATGAGAGAATGTGGCATTTAGAAAGACCTTATTTTGTCTAGTTCAACAAGAAATCAAAATCGGATAAATACGTTAGGCTGGACTCACAATCGTGATAATCTATATCTTCGCGCTCCACAACCATTGTAGGCATGTGGTTTCTGTACATCAAATATAGATTGAAATTTGTAATTTGACTGGGTGTCATTGCTTTTCAGAGTTGTCACATCAATCATTGTGTAGTGTACTATATGCACAACTTGGTAGAGGCGAGACTTGTAACAAAACTATATAGTCTTGGATATATACTGTAGCGAAGAGGTGATGCATCACCCCGAAGTATAATAATATTATAAGCAAGGTACATAAAGGCATAGTCCAATTATCTCGAAAGAAATATGTGTAAAAGACGATGTGAAGTGGAGTGCTGACTTTTCATGACATCTTGCTTAGTTATCTGTCTACGTGATATTAACAAAAACTATATAGAAACTCAAAAATGTCCTATCCAAGAAAATGAAATTGTATGTCAAAATCATTGTTTTTCTTCTTATATGAGAAAAATTTATATACGTAACTGGATTATTTTGGCACTATAATGGAGAGATTCCTTTTGGGTTATGTAAATGTCTTAATTCAGGTGAAAGTGCCCCCAAAATAGTGACTGTAAATTGTTGTCTACACGATTGAGAATTATAATAATTATGTCATGGCTTACGTATGCATTCCAAGAGCAAATCATTAAAGGCTACTAGCAGTGTCTTGCTCATGAAGGATCAAACATGGACGCTCCTCATCTTTCATGGACTTTGTCTCTTTAAGAACTTGGCCATTCACTTCCAAATTGTAAATAAAAAAAGGCTTTTTAAAAAGTAGTTCTAAAACACCATCATAAAGTATTCTTTCACGTAATTATTAAAGCTAGCATTTCGTCTAGGTACGACTAGCTAGTTATCGGGCTAACTTACAATCGGGAAGTCACGGGAAGTGCTTGGTTTGGTTGTTGCACACTATTAGTTGGAGTCAATCTATATATGATTTAGAGTACGAAGGATTACCATTTATTTTGTAGATATACAAATATATATAAGAAAAGCAGATGACGATATCCACTACCCCTCCAAATAAGACTTAAGGTTAATTAAGCTTTGGCGCAATGGTAAAATATGAGGATTCTCTATGGAGTATAGAAAGTTCGAATCTCCATGACAGTTGGAAGGCAACATCTACATTATAAAGCAGATGTCCTGTGGAGGTAGAGTTATGATGCGTTTTATTGTCCCTTCGGGGTTTTGTCCGCACATCATAAAAAGAGTCTCACAAGAAAGAAAATCACATCCCGAATGTCCTGTCCAAGTGTCTAAGCTGTGATTACATCCAGATTTACTCATGTGACAAATTGGGGGGAGGCCGCCACTCCTCAGGATTAGTCGGGCAAGATTCGAACACCCGAGTTATAAAAAAAAGGGTTAATTAAGCTGCTGTTTGACTCTCTTTAAATTAAAATTCTTTATTTCTCGTATTTATTTTTAACCACATATCTACACAATAAAATATTTTATACATAAACCAACTTTTTCCCCCTTTTTGTTAATTACATAATTTCCAAAAAATCACTATTCGTCCAATTTCTCTTTATGATTGACTAAATTGACAATTTCTAACATCAATAGTATACATTCTATGATTGATTTTGCAGATGTTTAAGAATTTGGTAATCCAAACTTGATACTAATAATGCTAAATTTTTTACAGTGTTTAGAAAAGAACCTCAATTTTCATAAAATAAAGAACCAAAATAATGAAAGTGCTTGTTTAAATTTCCTTATAAGCACATACATAATTTACGGGTTGACGTCAACTTTAATTTTAATTATATACATTTCGTAGTACCCACAAGTTCTATACTTTTTCATACTCATTTCTATCACATTATAATTTTAGAAACTTTAAATTCAAACCAGCACAAAGGAAGGAAATATTATAAACTTATGAAGAACACAATTATCCTTCAATAATTGAACTGCATAAAAACAAAAAAATGTAATAAAAAAAATAAAAAGGCCAGGACAATCGACTGAAGCCATGTCCACTATTGTGTGTCATGACAGTGCTAATTTGTCGTATTCAACTTATATAATCGAGCTTCAATAGCTAGATCAAACTACATGGAGCATCAATTTTAATTACACGGAGTGATTTCATCGATAGTATTCATTTAAAAAATATGATCGTTCTGTCGATCCATCATGATTTGTCACATATACTCTTACAAACATTCTTGAACCTTGAAAAGGTAATACAAAAAATAAATGAAATAGAGTATTCATTTTTGCACTATATAACGTAGGATTATGATGTGACCAGATTACGTGGCACGCACTCATTGGTACAGCTACAACATTAGAAACACCAAATTTTGCCGACAATTTAACCAGCGTTTAACACATATCCTTCAAATTCTTTATTTATTTATTTTCTTATAGACTTACGTGTGCATACACAGATAGCGAATGTGCTAATCTGTCTCTAAAGGGTGATTAAGAAATAAGAACCCTTAAAAAATAATTATATAAAATAGTCCTTTTTTAGTTAATGTATTCACACTTGACCTTTGCTGTCCCCTATTTGGCACTTTTGCTTTTTAAATTAAACAAGGATTACTTGCTTATCACCAAAGTTTGTTGAATTTTTCTAACAAAAGTTCCTTTTGTTTCTTACCCTTTTCAAATAGTAAGATAGAATGCAATATATGTTGTTAAAGTATTCTACTTTTTATCAAAGATACTTGTTTTACATAAGTGCAATCTGGAATCTTGAAAATTGTCATTTCGATTAGTCAATTAGACGGTTAGTTCGTAAGAATGTATCACGTTTTACTTCTTAGTACGTTGGTTGATCATACCATCGAACATTTTTTTTATATGGATTACTAGTTATTATAGATTTAAGTGATTGTCATACAAGATTCGTCCTCAAAATGGTCATGCCTGAATTTAACTCGTTGATTTTATGACAAGACGTATAGTTTCTTGTTGAACAAAATGTTTATTTGATTCTAAAACTAAATGAAATGTGATAAGAAAAGAATGAAGATATCGATCAAAATTGATTCCATCCTGCTATGGGGTTCCAAACTTTCCACCCAGCTCTTTAAAGACATTTTCAACTCAAAAGATGCTAAACCTATTTTTTAGATGGTATTTTCAGAAGGAAAGGCTTCATTTACTTTTTGCTATGTCAATTCGAACTTGCTCGATCTATTCAACTTCGACCTTATAACGCAATTGTATTCTTTGACCCAATTGTTTAGTTCATCACCAGTGGCATAAGTAGAGGAGGCATATGTGAGGAAAAGAAAGGGAATTTACCTCATTAGGATCTAATTCCAGTTAAATCCGTAACAAAGCTCATCAAGATAGACCGCCCTTTACGCAGTAAAAAAATGTTCTAAATTCAATTCAAAGAGCAATATTATTAATATTCAACTCAATAAAATACTTCAATCCGAAAACCAATAAGATTTTATGATGAAATCATGGATAAAAAATGCTGTTTTATGTGAAAATGATTAACTTGAAAATTAGAAGATGAAATATTTTGTGAACTGTATATATTTTAATTCAATTGCCTAATATTTATAGACAAAATTATAATATTCAAATATACAAAAGATAGAAAAATGATAATTCTATTACGGAAACTAAAAAATAAAAGATTCGAACGATACAGACTCCTTAATTATATTTTTGTCCGACAATTTACTTTTATTGTGGATATTTCATGGCATTAAGCCCTTGGTTGAGCAACATTAAAATTAGTTTTTAGAGAAAAATATATTTTAGAATAATAGTTTTTTTGATAATGCATGGTTAAAAGAAATAAAATTTTACATTTACGCTTAATATTATTTTATTGAAAATACATTAAAACATGGATTAAATAAATCTTTTACCCTTCAATGCATTATTATAGGGTATTGGTAAAATTTTGGACAGTGTGACATTGATGGTGGGGACAAAAAAATAAAATAAAAAAGATTATCTAAAAGTAGGCGTTGAAAGAGTAGAAGATAGTGTGATTCGATGGGATAAGATGATGAAATCATGATGATTAGACAATCACCGAAATTTGTTGTATTTCCCAAGAAAGTCACCGAATGATTTGTTGGTCGACAACTTCCTACAACCATCATCAACTTTTTCTTGGTCTACCAAACATCATTAATAATTATGGGAAAATTGCATATTTGTTCCCTAACCTTTCAAAAATGATGCCTTTGTGCACCCAATATTTCAAAATGACACGAAAATTCCACATTATTCGAATACCTATCACTTAAATAAGTTAAAAACATAAATACCGATTTAAGAACTTCATATTCACCATCAATGACCTCCCCAAATCCATCGTTGCTGCAAATCAATTTCTACTCACACCAAAACTTTTCAACCTTCATTTGCAACAAAAAAAACATAGGGATAGGAAATATTCCAAAAATTCATTAATCTTGACTTTTGATTCAAACTTTAAAACAAAAGTTTCTAGATAGTTTTTTTCCCCTTAAAGTCATGAAGTTTTGCTTCGAAATGTTGTCTGTTCTTGATAAATTAATCAGTAAATTGATCAAGAAACTAATTCTTCGTTTTATTGAGAGATTCTATTTGAACAGTATCAGAGAAGAAATTGTAGAAAATTTTGTTCAAGAAGATTCAAAACTAAATCTATATGCCGTTGATTTTCTTTGGATGTGATTGTTTCTAGAATGGTGGTAATGAGCAAAGATTTTATTTGTTTATTTTCACTAATGGTGGTTCCGATTGTTTCCATTTTGGGGTGATTACGTAGTAGTTGGATGGTTGTTAGGTATTATGAAAAATTTTCCTTTGATTGTGAGATGTTTGGTACCATTTTTAAAGATTGTGGTAGATCTGCAATGTTTTTCAAAGACTAGGGACCAAATAATGAACTTTTTCCATAATTAATTATAAATCAAGTCCTTAAAAAAAAAGTAATTATTCGTGATAAATTGTACTAAAATAAAAAAACTCGTTAAAATATTTGTAATTTGGGGGTATATTTTTATTTGAAAGTATTCAAAACGGGCCAAACTAGTTCATTCCATTTTTGCGAGTAAAACTAGTCGTTTCATTTTCAAATTTCTAATGAAATCTGGTTCCAATTCCCAAAAAACTCGGACCAATTTACTCCGTGCTCATCACAAATTGCAATATATAAACCAATTGAAAAAAAAAAAAAAAGAAAAAAGAAGGGTTTATGAAACGCACGTAACACTTTCAGCTTGGTTGTCACATTTACGCGAGCGAGTACAATTCAAAAACGTATTTTAGTACTCCAGCCAACATCTTCAAACTTTCAAGGTCAAATTCCATCGTTTAGGGATCTATTTTTATCATTTTTCCATTTTGAATCAGTTTAAGGGTACTTAGGTCGTTTTTCTAAGTTCCTAGTTCTATTTGAATTTGCCTACCGATTTAGACTTTCACTTCGACTCTTTAAATACGTGTAAATGAAAGCCATATAGCCATTTTTGATTAATAATATTCCAGTTTTTTCCGCTCTCTAGTGGATCCCAGTATGTCTTACATCCGTTCGAGCAATACTTGTTCATGTGTTACGATCAAAATCCTTATATTGTTATTTACGTTTTCGTCCTGTGTCACCCATTATCCGATATATTTTCTACTCGAAATAGAGGTAAAATAGAATTTATGTCCAAAAATCAAAAGCATTTGATAATTACTTAAAAAAAAAAAAAAAAAAGTTGGCATGGGCCCACAAAAACAGGATGACCATATTGAAGACATGTTGTTCATAATTGGTATTTTAAGAGGGGGACACGCTAACTTCACATGGGCTATGGGCCCACCGGTTCCCTAAAGGTTGGGCCATATCACGCGTCCTATCAGGCCCATAATATTTGATTCAACGACTCTGCTTTTTAATTTCTTTATTTTTTTTTAAATTTAATTTTAAACCTATTAAGATTTTCTATTCCTTTCTTAACCCACACGCCTCTCACCGTCGCCTTTCTGTAGCAATAAACTAACATAACTAGACCATTACACGTGAGCCAAATCCCTCCCTCAATGACTCACACGTGTGCAATGCCAACACCGCGAAATTACTTAGACGTTTCTAGCTAGATATTGACTATATGTGACTATTCAATAACCAAAAGAAGGCATGAAGACGGTTGCCCCAACCCCATCCCACCCATCTAACATTTTTTTAAATAATATCTTTTTCGTATAAAATTATTAATTTTTTCTATTTATTTGTAACATTTATAGGAATTACAACGAGGTGGGGTGTGTTAAAGTGGCCCTCCTTGTCCTCTGTCTTGTTGAGGATTTTTGGACGATGGATCGGAACGGGACACGATGACAACCCTACCCCATTGCTAATCATATATCATCATATACTTATTTAATTTTTTATTACATGTATTTTTTATATAAATCTGAGGCGTTCTGGGACTGGATGCTTTATCGTATCATGCTGTATAAACCTCTGTTTAGTTTAGATAAAAAAAAAAAAAACATTTTTCTACCAAATTTGAATAAAAGTTGATGGAATGTATGGTAAAAAAGTTGTAGATTTCATTAAATGTATGGTAAAAATTAATTGAGATAGTCATCATAAACATGATATGCATACACTCTTCTCCAACACTATTCTGTTGTGATTATCGAAGTGCTATTCAAATTGTTTACAATGATGTATTTCACAAGTGAACAAATAAATATTGTTCCATCGCTCAAACTGCTTATGTGTTTACTAAAGTTCATCCATCGAAATCAAGCTCATGTTGGTAGTGTCTTCTCAATCTTGAGTTCAAGGGGACGTTAAAACTAAATCAAATATATACTCTGCCATTATTGTACACATTGTAATTATTGTAGTATTATTTCATTAATTGTAACTTTTCGTACATTGTTGTAATTGTCCTATAAATAGATACTTTTATAAAAAGACACAACAAACATATACATTTTTCTACTCTTTTTCCTTGTCCTAAAATCAAAGATGGCTAATACAGTTGTTACATGTGTAATCATACACCAATAATTGAATGCAAAAGAACAATAATTAATAATCACTCAATTCATATATATTACACTGATATATATTTACAAACGTTTGCTATTAAAAACACGTAAAAAGATTAATAAAAGATTCTGTATTTTTTCTACAAATTCTAATACAAGCCCATAACCAGTAAAATGGAGGGTTGGGTGGATTTTTATATATATTTTTCTTCAAGCTAAGAAAATATAAACTAACTAATTAATTAACAGGTTGCTGGTGGTGGGTTGGCGAAGGGATTAAAGAAGTGAGACCTAGGAGCCATAGAAAATGGGCTCTTGGCCGGAATTTCACTGCCGGCGGCACCGGTGCCGCCTCCACCGCCGATCCTTTCGCAAGAGGGGCACATGGAGAGGGTGGCAGCCATGTAAAAGGGCTGTGCGAGTTTTTGTGCCTTCAATTCTTGTAATTCCTTGTGCAAATTTCTGTTTTCTTCTTTTAGTGTTTCGCAGCATTTCTTCAATAACTCGCAATCCACTTCTGTTTGCTTCAGCTTTGTCCTGTGTAAATTAAATCGATGGTTTAGATGCTACTGAAATTTATCAAACTGAACCGGAACACAATTTTGATGCAAAAGATGAATTTGACCTATATGGTAAAATCTAAATAATTTAAGCTTTTAGATAAAGACGAGACCTTGCTCTTCTGTTCTGGAACCACACTTCCACTTGCCGAGGCCTCAGATGCAACTCCCGTGCCAATTCTTGCTTTTGTTTCTGATAAATCAAAAGCTATCATCAGTAAGATCTGTTAAAAATAAATTTCATATCGAATAAAGATGATATGAACACAAAACATAAGTTTGGCTACTGTTCTTAATATGCTTCACGTTTTACGGAACCCCAATCAATTTAAAGTTCAAACAAGCAATCGGACTCAAGATTGGTGTTCGATTTGACCACCATCTTAAGTGTGAATTGCATATGAAATGATATAAAAATACATATAGGAGAGAGGGAGAGGGAGAGGGAGAGGGAGAGAGGGAGAGAGGGAGAGAGGGAGAGAGAGAGAGAGAGAGAGAGAGAGATTACAGGATTGAGAGTGCTGTTTTGTTTGAAGTTTTCTTCTAAAAGGGCAGATTGAGCTTTAGTCAGTCTGAGTTTCTTCCTTCCGTTATAGCCTCCATCATCATCTTCATCACTAACTCTTGAACAAACTCTCTCTATCTCTCCTTCTTCACTCCCAAATTCTCTCTCTCTCTTCACGCTGAGATTAGAGAGAGATGAAACTGTACTATCTTGACGATACAAATCACCCGTCTGATCAGTAATATCCACAGCTTTTTTCACCGTCCGATCATAGCCAGGATCACCACAAAGGCTGAGAGCCAGTGAAGGCTCTGATGTTTTTCCCAAGCAGTTGAATTTCAAGGTTGGTATTTTGGATTTGTGATTTTCATCTGTTGATGATAATCCCAACCCTAAAACCAAGCCCGTGTTGCAAATTTCGTTAAAACCCATCTAAGTTTGAGGAGAAATGAAGAAAAAAATGTTGGGAGGTTTGGTTAGGGAAAATAGAGGAGTGGTGTATATATATATGTGTGTGTATAGTGAGTTCTCTGTTTTTGGGTAAAATGAATAGTAGGAATGGGGACGGGGTGGCTATGATTTACCGTTTCTCAATACATATTTCACACTTAATTACATCATCTTTTCTTATCAAAATAAATGGGAAAACGGCATCGTCAAGACATAGCGTGCAAATGGGTTGAAAAACGTCTAGATGTCTTTCTATTTGCCAAAAAAGAGTAACGTGTCAACATGTTAAAAATGCAAGTTCGAAACAACAAGTCCGAACTCATCTATGTGGGGCCCCTACATAATACTAGGACCGAGGAAACTAATCAAACCTCACCCGCCCCGCCCCCTACTATTCAAATGCAAAGAATTGATGTAAAGGAATACGAGGATCCACATGGTAATGGGACATAGAGTATTATTCATTAGTCTTCTCACCACCCGTTACCATACCAAATTTCACTATTAGACTATCAAGGACCCCTTCTATTAATTAATTAATTTATTTATTTATTTATTTTTTTTCATAATCCCGGGTTATTTATTAGTACTGGAAAGTGTAAAGTGGAAAATATAAAATTTTAAAGAGGCATACTATTACTGAAAAAAAAAAAAAAACAAAAAACAAAACAAAGATAAATTTGGCATGTCTCAACTTATTTTTTCATCTACATACATTTGCAACAATAATTAGCCGCTTAACTTCTCGATCAGTCTCACTAGCGAAACAAAATTGCTCTTTTTTATGACGTAGGATTGCCAAAGAAGGAGGATTAATCCAAGCCTAATGATCGACCACATTAAGTGGTCAAAAAGCAAGAGCCAAACATTAATATTGAAAAGATTGGCCTATGACGTCTATATGTTTCATATCCAAGGATTAAAATGTTTATTAGGAAGATTTAAGGGATTAAAAGAATTAAAAAGCTTGTTTCATATATTTTCCCTTTTCATTGCACTAAAGATAGTGTGTCAGACTTGGAAAATATTAAAGAAGAAATTTTAACTTTCACCTTGATGAAGTCTTTTCGATAACCCAAAAGGAATCTTCAATCAATCATAGTGCAAAAGGAAATCCAATTACGTAATTAAAATTTTCTCTCCCAATCTAAGAAAAAAACAGTAATTTTGACTCTCAACTTTGTCCAATTGAATAAGATATTTTTAAATATGTAACCACTAATAATACATCAATATAATTAATGGGATGGTGCAATTTTGGGATACTTTTAAAATGCAAGAAATAAAATATAGTTTAACTTATCGGACTATTTTTCGATGTTTTATACATTAGACTATAGTATTGCACATCAAACATATGTATAAAATCGACCGTGAAAGATAGAATGTGTTGTTTACTAAGAAAACACTGGAGAAAGATATAAATTTTGCTCATATCATTTTGTATAGTACAGTTCAAAACTATATATCAAGAACATCTTGAATCGACCGTGGAGGATTAAATGTATTGTTCCACTGAAAAATGTTAAAACACACGAGCTAGAAACTTTGTGATTCTGTATAGTAAAATTTGACATCATTCTTTCAAAAAAATACACTCTTAAACAGTGATTTGACATCATTTCAACTACACAATTTTCAATAAAATAATATTACACGCAAATCTAAATTTTTTCCTCATTTTTTAGCTATACATTCTCCATCAATTTACTTTTTCAAAATACATTCTTTCAAAATAATGTGACTCAAACACACTTAATACTATATGCCAAACGCATCTTTGTGCGGATTGTGAAGGATAGAATGTATTAGCCACTAGAAATGTTGGAACATGAGACAGAGAGGGGCATTATCAGGTGGTGGATTGCTTCATTCTTTTCTTGTTTGTTGTGTGGGAAAGTTAAAAATAAAAAAATAAAAAGTTGAAGAAAAGTAGGTGTAAAGACAACTTGGGTAGTTTCACCAAGTTAAGATAAAAATTATGATACATTAAAACGAATCAGGATCTTTGCTTAACTACAAAGTTCATAGTTTGGGACCCACTAATTTATATTGTTTATAAAATACAGTAATTAATGTATTGTCGGGTATGCTGAAGAAAAGTTAGGTTATGAAGTGTACACCGTGTCAAATTTTCATATTTTGCACCAATTTTATTTTATTTTATTTTATTTTCCCCTCCTCGGATTTAATAAACTTAAAAAAATAAATAATTGAACTCCTACGCATTTTTCTTGAATGTAAATTTGGAAGCTCGAGGGAACTATATATAGTAGAATACCTACATGTTTTATAAAACACATTCAACATAATAATTGAAAGCTCGTGCCACAATTCTCATATCGTTAATAGCATCCAATCCTACGTACCTAAGTGCTACACAAGTTTGTGATCTTTATGAACCCTCTATTTAGATTCTTGAGTGGACAATTCACAAACATCAAAATATCTATTTTTTTGTGAAAGTCGTACATAAGTTATTTTTGGTGAAAGCCATGTAAGAATTCTTCTTTGAAAAATATAATCATATGAAGTGAAAAATTAAAATGCTAAATCATTTTTAAAAACGTTAAATATGTATTCATGGTCGACTCCATTGTCATCTTTAAATTAATTTTTTTTAACGAGGTAGTAAATTATGAGAAAGCGAATGGTCAATTAGCAATTCACTTGGTCAATTCCAATTACATTTTAGGTAAGTCACATAGAGTTAGCCTATGACTTATTTCAATTTAGTAGGGCTGGACAAAACTCTCGAGCCGAACTGATCGAACCTGAACGAACGATTCTTTTTAAGTTAAAAACTCGAACGGGTATTTAAATCGAGAACTGATGGGTTTGGTTCCGTTTTCGGTTCTAGATCAATAACCGAAAAATCGAATAAAAATCGAATTTTTCTAATTTTTCAATTAATTTATTTTAAATACATCAAATTATTTTATTTTTTCTAAATAAATTTACTAACCAATTAATTTAGTTCAATCCCAAAAATACGATTTTTCTATTTCTAATTTTCAGTTCAAAGCCAACTTAATCAAATTAACCTAAGTTTTATTTAAATCTGTTACTCTACCGTCGTGTCATTTCTACTATTCTAGAGAAATCGAATCGAAACTCGACAATGTCTCTCTTAATTATTTTGAGCTCACTATCCTCTTCCTGTGATTTTAACAATCAAATTTATGAAGAACTCAGAAAAATAGAGACGCAAAAGACACATAAGATTGAATTATATTATTTTATAAGAACTAAAATTGAACATATCATTAGTTGAATCAATGTCATTTTGTAAATATTAAAAAATTTAATTATAATACGGGATCTAGGAATTGAACCCGAATGGTTTCATAATTAAATTTGGATCCGACAATTCCACTTACTAAATACCCAAAAATTTCAAGTTCGGTTCTTATTAGAACCGATCCAAATTGGACCATGTCCGACCCTACAATTTAGACTTAAAAATAAGAGGTAATTGCATTGTCAAAGAATGATGCTAAATTTATATTCTTTGTTAACATCAAGGATGAAACCTTCTTATGTGGATGGAATTTGACCAGTAAGTTGATGGAGTGTGCTTCAAATTAAAAGCAATCATTGTCGCCACCTCATTGAATGTCAAATTTGAAGTCAAAGAAAATATACTTGTAGCATGATCCATCGTCCAATTGCTAAGTTTTGTAGTAGAGTTATTAAGAATAATTGAATTGTTTCATGTTACTTGTGTTAAATTTTTCAGATCGTATTAACGGTACATAAATACAATTATTCAAAATGTAAGGGGGGTCAAAAAATCAATTTTTTGGATTAGTCATCATAATTTTTTATTACTATTATGCCTCGTCATCCTATGAGACTGGCCACAGGCAGCTAACTAGGGAATAGCAAGTCCCACATCCAAATATATCTATATAGTTGGTTGACTTGATAGCTAGAATGTCCGCAGCCGTTCTCCCTCCATCAAAGAATGCTACGTATGCCTAACTTTTGTCCAAGTGTGCAAAAACTTGACATATGGACATGAGTTGAGTCTATCTGTTTGCTACACTGCCCAAGTTCAACAAAATGCGTTGTCTGTGAGAAACAACATTTTAACCATAACCATATTTTTTGGGGTCTCTACGTAGGAGAATGGTCCAAGAAAGCCCATAAAAACTATGCTATGGAGGCCAGAGACCCTCAATGACTAGCTACATAGTCAAGAACCAAACTTGTAGATCAAGAGTGGTAGAACCCATCACCTACACCGAAGAAGATGCCAGGGAATTGCACTACCCCTACTACGATACCTTAATAGTGAGAACAATGTTAGCCTGCATCGCGATGAAGTGCATGCTAGTGGATGTTCGCGAAAATTATAAACCGCAAGTATATGGGTCACGTTCAAGTAATAAAGTGGACTTTTTGAGTCCGAATTATTGATCCCTCAAAAAATTTGTATTTTTGATTATACAACTTTAATTAATTTATTTTTAACAATAAAAAACAAACACACAATAAATATTATAATTTTGAAAATAATTAAAAACTAGAGGAAAATATAAAAATCTTGAAATTTTCGAAGGAACACACAGTTGGGATTCATGGTTTCGCTTAACCGTTGCCTAATTAATTTATCAAAAGCCAATTAATAAATTACTCATTTACAACATTAGACTTGATTTTTCAATTTTAGTTAATTACTTTTTTAGAGCAAAATTAATCTTAATTGATTTGTTTGACATACTATATCTTTATGTCGATTAAAACTAAAGGACCGCATTAAATTTTTGTGAAACTATCTCAATGAGTCATTTAAGGCTAGAAGTATTTCTTTATTCTCTACACAAATTTAGGATTCTTACTATTTGGTCTAAAATGAACAATTTTCTCTCAAATGATGTGTAAATTACTAAACTCATTCATTCATTCGTCACATCAATGAAAATGCAATAAATAAAATAGTAGATAGACATGGAAATAAGCATTTTAACATTAAAAAGCTAATTTTAAAATTAATTAAAGCTAGATTAGTAACAAATTACTGAACACAATCATTCATTGGTCACATAATAAATTAGTCCATATTATATAAATGGTAAAAAAAATATTTATAACAATACATTACGAAT